GAAGTTTGGCCTACGGCATTAGATTTCTTCCTTCCAATTCATTTAATAATCTAAGTCAAGTAAAGTTGTAACATGTACCCCTGCAGTGCCAGGGCCCTGCGGCTGCTCTAAGCGATGTTTGGTTGCAATGCTGCAATTTTACTAAGGAAGACACAGCCAGGGAGCTGAAGTCAACAGCCTCGTGTGGACAGGGAACAATGCTCTTAATCTTTGGGTGAGTCTTTAGTTGAGTTACCAGTCATAATTTACACCTTGGGCATTTATAACCTGCTCATGTAAATTCATTTGCTTTGTAATACTGGGCTTTGCTTGCCTAAGGACTGCTGGTTTACTCATTTATAATTTGTGATTCTATTTCTTTTCCTTCCTAGAAGCACTGAACATCTATTGTAAATGACAGAAGCAAAAAGAACGGTAAAAATATGCTCTAAACTGGCATGAATGCTCTAAGTAAACCAGCGCTACTTTTCCACTGAACAAGGGCATTCAGCATAAGAAGGTTATATTCCAGACATTAATGAAACCTCACCGGTCAATAGAAGAAATAATATTGCAGATATGACAAAATTATTACCTTTTGTTTTCTAAGACAATAAATATCTTAGAGTTCTGATATTACAGTAGGACTGGTTTAGGGGAAGCTGCAGTTATTAATTCATTGAGATGTGCTATCATTTCTTACTCTGTATAATACATCAAAAACTCTCTCTACTGTTCAAACATTCTCTTGTCCATGTTCAAACATGGAAAACTGTGCATCTGTAACTTGGTGCACACTGCAGAATTTTGTCAAGAGCATGAGCACAACTGAAACTGAACCAGCTTTTTAAAAGATCTTTTCTATTCCTATCCCAGGAGTTACTTCCTTGCCTTGGTTTTCTCAAACTACTGGCTATTTCCACTGAAGCCACCCATCACATTAGATATGTGAAACTGCTAACAGTGGAACAATTCAATTTTATGGAAATTATAGTCTGTAAAGAGAAAGAGCTTTAAGTGACAGTGTAAGAGCAAAACCCAAGAATGGTCTCTTTAGTAAGTCACTGGAAAGCTTAGTCTTCATAAAGAGAGGACAAATGTGGTAAGATTATTTATAAACTATCATCAGGGTGCATTTTTCTTTTCTTTCTGGGAAGATTCCCCTTCAGCCATTCTCCTCTTCCTTCTTCCAACTTTTCCATGAAGTCATCCCAATTTGCACACTCCTATCCACAGCTTATTGTGGAATGAGCATTTCCCTGTGCTATCAATCCCCCCATTTTCACTCCATCTCATTCTTACATTAGGGAAAAGCTCCTGACTTCTACTACCAAGACAGAGAAACTTCTGAAAGACATTCTTCTCTCCCAACTCGATACCACCTGTCTTCTTGCTGTCTTTATTTGCCATGTAGCACCACGCTTTTTTGCATCGCTACTTAGACTGGAGGTCTGGAAGGGATTTCTCCTGTTTTTTCTTTGACTAGCAGTATCAGCAAAGAGGTACCAGCACTACTGCTGCTGACAGCTCTCTCTGACAGGCTGCAAACCATTTTGATGTACTTGCATCTTGCCAGCAACACAAGCACCACCACTGAGAAACCCCCATCTCAGATTGTCAGCTCCTCATGGAGCAGAACTTGCCTCTCCATAGAGACCAGTGTTGCTACATAAACAATACAAAACCACCTAACAAAATCCCACCACCACCTCACTAAAACAACAGGCAGGAAAAGAGATGCTATTAAGAAATCTGACGCTAGGTGAAGCGATTGGTACACACTCAGTGATCAAGTCCTTGCCTAACTAACACATTAAAGCAACTTATATAGACAAGATTGTAAGAGCAGACAGACACAGACAGTCTTTGGGGTAATGCATCAAAGAAAGGTGACAAACAGAGAAAGAATGCTTAAAAATAAAATTGTGACCTCTACTATGTTAAAAAGAAATAGAAATTGTCCCTTTTGACACGTGTCTTCCATCTCCAGTTACCCATCAGGTAGGAATCTTTTCCACCAAGGGAGAAGTGAATTCTTTGCACACCAACTCTTGGTTGAAAAAACAGAGCAGCTCCAGAAAGAAGATTTGGCGAGGCTGAAGTAAGGATGCACGATGTTACTGAGCAGGTGAATGTTTACCAAAGTGTAGTATGGGAAAGGCTTTGTAGTAAAAAACAGAAACTAGCACCAATTTGCATCAAATGAAAAAAAATTCAAACAACAAAAACCAACACCAGACAAGAAAAAGAAAAGAGGAACTGTTCTAATTTCATTTGTAATAGTAGCTGGATGGATCTGAGATCATCAGGATCTTGTAAGAGAAACAATTTTGCCAGTGATCTGAATGTAAGATCTGAACTGTGGGAACCCATATTTATAGCAAGCCAAGAGCTCATGAAGTCCATGGGAACTAGGAAGCTCATGGCTCTGGGCAAGTTCAGATAGTTCAGCATCTGTCAGCAATAGTTCAGCATCTGTCAATTACAACAGGTAACAGAAAAAGTCGCCTAGCTCCCTAAACCCAGCATTTGCTGTATTCAAGGTACTGCCTGTAGTAAAATACCGAGAAGGATAATGCTAGACTACATATACTGAGAGTATGGTGTATATATACTATGTATATGGTATATAATGACATGTATTTTCTGTGCACCACTGTGGGAGGAAACACTTCATCATGTTCAGATACTGAAGCCTTCATCATGTCAACTGAAGCCTAGAATGATTCTCTGGTGACTGACAGGCCAGTAATAGCAGTACCTTGAGATGAGGCAAGACCTCACTATCTGCTTATCATCTTCTCTTTCCATTTTTAAAAAGAAGATACTGTCCAAAGACTCTTCCTGTTCTTTAGGCCATTCCTCAGAACACAGTTCCTACTTCTTCCCTGCCCACCAAAGTTTGCTCTCCTTTCTCTTTTGGCTTACAGATACTCTATTCTTTGATTTTTTCCTATTAGCTTCCCACCTTTTCTCATTACTTAAAAAAAAATACCTCTCCCTTTTTTTTTTTTTTTTTGTTCTATCCTTGCTCCTGCCTACCTCAAAAAAGCTAAAAAGCTTTTTGTATTAGCAGATCAACCTCGAGTACGGCTAGATGAAATGGTTAATCACTCCTTGAATCTCCTTCCCCTCCGTACTAAATGATTTCCTCAAATCACAATTTTCTTACAACATACAGAGATTTGTGTCTATCTTCAGATTTGCCTCTAGTATGTGATTCAAAATGAATTAAATTATATTTTAATAAACCCTGTACTGATCCCTTGAGGATAAACTGAACTACAAAGGATTGGTTTATATTGCTTTCAATGCAATTTTTTGTCAGTGTGAAGAATGCAAGCTTGGGCTCTAACATAACATATGCACTCTGAAAATATTTTCCCAGTCTCAGGGATATATCCATTGAGAGCTCTTAGGTTTTGCTCAGTTATTTCCTTGGTTAGCTGGAAAGAAGAGCAGTACCATCAAAATGTCTTTCTAAGAATTGCTTGGATGGTCTGCCCTCCATGAGAGTTCAGTATCCATATCTTAGAAGAGGAGTAAAAAGCTGCAAAAAATTAACAGGAAAAAAAAAAAGAGAATCCACTATTTATCACTTTATATGGTGTACTCAGAAGTTTAAGACCCTTCATAAGTTGACAAAGTTAACAAAATTTGCAGAAGCTGAAATGACAAACAACAGAAAAATCACACTGAGACCGGGCAGATTATTCACATCATGTCACCAGAATGAAATGCCAGACATTTTTGTGATGAATGAAAACTAAGAAAAGTGAACTATATATGAAATGTACTTTACTAAATGCTCGCAATTGTTGCAATGAGAACACCGAAGTTAGTGATTTTATACCTGATAAATGTTTTCTTCCGTTTCAGGCTCACGGATTGGCTCGTGTCCAGCCTCAAACACAATGTACTATTACACCAGCCGCCAGAGAGGAAAAGTCAAAGATGAAACAGAAGGGAAAAAGGCGATTTGGAATTCCACGTAAAAACATAGGCAGGCAAACAAGTTCAAAGTACAGGCTGGCAGCCGGACAACTGGTTTGTTGGAAAGCGCAGAGTAAGGTTGTTTCATATTTCATAAACCGGCAATGAATAGACCTAAATCTCTTCTAATGATCATTAGAGCAACTTCCTAATTCTCTCTCACCAGGGAGACTGCCTGTGGCCCAATATTAATTTTCTGAAGTCAACGTGATTTTTGCCTCTTTTACATAATGGCAATTATTTCCACACATATTTATTATCTATGAATAAAAAAGCTAAATCCAAAGTGGAAGAATAGGCTGGTGCTCAAGTACCAGGCCACATGGCAAAAGGCTGTCGCAACACTTTTCATTGTCAGGTTCTTGCTTTATTGTGAAGAGCACAAAGTAAAACTCCTGACATTATAAAAGCTGAATAGTAATTTAGGGCATCCTAATTCTTATCATCTTTCTTGCCGCACCTTAGGCACTGTTCAGTATTCACTAGTGGTTCAATTGGTTTCTTTCAGCACACCTCCCATTGACATGCCTAAGCGGAAGAACACAAAATCCCCAGGAAAAAAAAAGCAAACTGTCGTATATTTTGTTTCAGCACAAAAACACGAGAATGAAATTACAACTTTTTCTTCTTCACACTCAGTGGGGTATCAGACATGAATATATTTACATATTTCTGATAATCATCTTTGCTCCCAGACATTTTGCTTGGATGAAATAAGACTTAAATTTCAGATCTATTATTAAATCATGCCCAAATGTCAAGAAGGGAGTGTGTTATAATGTCAATTCCACTGTTGTTGCTTTCCAAATATTCATCCTCTGTATTAAATTCTAGCCCCATCGAAGACAAAATTAAAATGTCAGTTTATTACTGTCAGAACAAGATGTCACCTCCCTTATTCTCATAGTAACTCCCTTTTAAATTAGAGTTTGCACTAAAAAACGATGAAAAATTTTATTCGGAAACTTAAAATGTGGACTCACAAGCCACGTTTTAGGAAATATTTACAACAGATTTCATGTAGTATTTCTATACTGCAACTGAAATATTCTATTCTATACACATATATTGTGCTATTACAGCTTCATCTTTAAATATGCTACTTTCTGTAAAAACCTTACAAGTTTCTCAGAAGATCTATCTCAGTAAAATTCAAAACATCTTGTTAAAGGTTTTGGCTGTGTTTGAAGGTAATATATGTCTAGTCATTTCTGAAACTCCAAGGCCATACAGCTTCAGAAATTACCTGGTATACAGGATCTTCTACATCTTCTTCCAAAATTGTCTACAGCAAAGTAAGAGGACAGGCAGTAAAAGCAAAGAACATAAACAGTAGAGATAAAAGAACCGTATTCAGAAATTAAAGGACAGCAAAGAAATAAGCAAAATGGGCAGGTATGTAAATAGTTTTCTTTCTTTAGTATACAGATAAAGTCACATTATTGTACAAAGTTACTTTATTCCAGTTTCATCCAAGTTTAACAATCTGCACCTTATTCGATCTGATTCAAATACACACATTCAGAAGTAGACTGAATCTTCCCTAAAGTACTAGACAGTGTTAAAAACCTGACTTAAAACACACTGACCTTCAATAAAGTTTTCCTTCTGAATTAGAAGAAACACTATGCAGGAAATGAATAGATGATTTCCAGTTGCTAAATATGTTCATCATACCCCAAGTGATAGCTTTCATCACTGTTTAATTCTACTTCTGAGCTTATGATGGCTGTTAGGTTCACATTTGTCCATTCGAAGCTAGCACCATTCAAACCCACTGCCGTTAAGAAATGCTGAGGATGCTCAGTGCCTGTTTGGATACCTTGGGGGATACTTCAAACCATACTTTTCTTGGCAGTAGTCTAAGCTTATGCGTGTACCTGGTATACGGCTTGTTCACACTGTTTGTCCTTTTGTGCCTTTTTTTCCATTTCTTCCCTTTGTTTCAGCTCATAGATGAGCTGAAACAGGTCTCGCAAGTCCAGAATTACAGGTTCAGCCTATGGAAGCAAAAAATAGGAAGGAAAGTTTCTGTATGGGAAAATACACACCCCTCATCCCATCCTGCTGATAGAGCAGTTATAGCATCTCCATAACGGGAGAGAACTTCATACAGAATTAATTTCTACCTTAGCATCCAGGCTCAGGTTAATTTCTATCGAACCAACTATATTTGCAAATTAATGATAATTATAATTATTAATATAAAAGCCATTATGAATATAAAAGGCATATATATGAATATAAAGACATATTTATCAGTGGTTTCTCATACAATGGAATTACGGTAGACTATGCAAAGCAGCTATTTGGTATCTATCACTTTCTGTTTAAATGAGTATAGGAATATAACCAAACTTATCTGTATCCAGCCTAGTTTTTAGTTAGAAAGGAAAACAACAATTTATTGTAAAAAACATCATCATGAAAAATCGGAAGTAGTGAAATACATTCCCGTTTTCCCAAGCTGGTTTCATTAATTTTCTATTTAAGATCAGTTAAGCAGACACCTGTGACAAGTCTAGCACAATCATAAACAACACAAGATTGGCCTCTTGAACAGCTTCTTATGAACGTAGCTTTTCTACTGAGTTACACTGTAAAAAAGGACAGTGATTTGATACTTACTGCCTGGGCTGTTTTTATTGCCACAAATCTATGATTTCCCTCCTTTCCACATACATAACCAAACGCTCGATGGTCTGTGATATCCTTTGCAATGTATGAAATTTCATGAACTGCATGGTGGTGCTGTAGTAGCTATGAAAAAAACACACAGTAAGAAATATCCATCAAAATGTTCCATTAAAAAGCTGTATAATTTCTCTTTCATCAGTGCCTAATCTGGATCTCAATTCACCTATGGAATTAAAACAAGCAAACATATCCTGGTATGAAAAACAATATCTGAACTGTTTACGCCTATTCTTTTTTCAAAATCTAGCCAAACTTCACTTGCTTTAATAATTTGTCTAAAAGTGTTCATTCTTGGTATCTTCTGGTGATATAATTCAGTAGAAAATATTACGTTACCTAGTTGCTACCTACACAGCATCCTAGGTACAGGATTGATATTTGTAGGTATATAAAAGAAGCAGCAGCAGCTACCTGTAGCTTCATACAGGGCTACTCTGAGGACAAACTGATCTGCAGGGACATCCAGCCTCTGAGCTGAGATAGCCAACCTCCCTAAGAACTGGCACCAGACTTGCTTTATCTCTGCAACACTCAGCATCAACCAGCAAGTGATATTTCATTTAAAGCAGCAGCAGAACTCCAAAAATTTATTTTCCCCAGAAAATTAATGGAAATGCAATTATTCAACTTGATATCAATGCTAAATGCAAAAGTTCATATTTTATTTAAAATCCCACTTTTGTTAATTGTAATAATAAAAAGACTCAATTTCATTTTAAATGTATGAGTAAAACTCTCCCCAGACCTGGGACATGAATCTCAGACTCCCATAAGCATGTCTTGAAGTGCCAGAATCTCTCTCACTTTGGCCTAAATAGTATTTTATTACTGAAGTAATACTTAAGTATTTCTACTTAGAATAATGTCCTTGAAAAGTTTATGTAAAACAATCTATTAGTTTGAATTTCTACCTTCTGATATATTGACCTGCTCTTACACCATCTAGGGATAACGCTATTTCTGACAGCAGGCAAAGCCTGACAAAGAATTCTTTTGAGGTCCAGATTCCTGCTGGTTTTGAGAAAAGCACATTTTGAAAATCAGCGTGGTATCCAGGCAATCTCTAAACAACCAGTTATTTTTAGAGTTTACAAAAAACATTTTAAAATTCAAAACCATAGAGGATGCGTGTGTGCAGAAGCAAAGAGGCTGAGAGCATGCAGGTCAAGTGACAAGCAATGAGACTTCTGTAGAACACAGACTGAAATTTAAAAGGAGAGGCAGCATGCAAGAGACAGATGACCACATATAAAACAAAGGACTGGACATGTTTCATTTTCATTTTGCAGTAAATGACTCCTAACTTCCCAAGATCAAGATTGCTTGCTCGTAGGAAAATGGAAGTGTTGCCACTGACCTCAGGCTGAGCGTGGCTACGCTGAAGGTGCACTTCAGACTCTCCCAATGTGTTAAGCACTTAAAATTAATGATGGGATCTTACTTCGATAATACAGGGATATTGATTTATTAGGTTTTTCTGAAAACCAAGTTGCATGCTATCTGTTACAATGAAATGAAATGTTCCCATCTCTCTATTCTGCATATGACAGGGAACGTTATCGCTAGCTCCTATTAAATCAAAGTTCTTTGACATTGCTTTATTGATTGCAAGACAGCGTTTTGCACTGAAATTAAACTGTGATCAGATTCCTTCCTCACAGAAATTTGAAGATCATTCTACCAAGGAAAAGTATCACCCACAATGTAAGACAGCAGATGGAGACACTCCAATTTATTTGGGACCCCTCATTAACCATTTGAAAATCATTCCATTTTTAATGGTTATGATATTTTACATACTGTATCAACAGAAGCACAAAGTAAGTAAAGGTGACTGCATCTTTTTACATATTGTACTGTATGGAGTGTTTAGCAAGAGTTTTTCATTTGTTTGAGGGATACTGAGTTGGAACATATACCTGAAATGCAATGTTGCATACACACATCTGTGCTCAAACGTAGACACAAACACTTCTTCGAACCTGTGTCTTCACAGCCCTTGAGTCATTTAATATGTCCCTTCTATACATTCCAATACTTGACTCTCAATATTATTTAACGAGTGCCTGATTCTTTGCTCTTGTGAAGCAGAAATGAGACTCTTGTTGCAGTCAGTAGAGATTTAGCACCATAAAATGCAAGATCAGTACAGCATCCTTCCTGTAAACCTTTGTTTAAGGACGCAACCTGCCCAGCAGCCTGCACGGAATTGCCCGGAGAAGCTGTGTCTGCCCCCTCCCTGGAAGTGTTCAAGGCCAGGTTGGACAGGGCATGGAGCAACCTGGTCTAGCAGAAAGTGTCCCTGCCCACAGCAGTGGGGTGGAACTAGATGAACTTTAAGGCACCTTCCAACCCAAACCTTTCTGTAATTCTATAGCCCTTCACAGCAGTGAGATGTGCATTAGAGTAAAGGACAGCAGAAGGGACAGCACGAGGAGAAACACCATCTCATTCAGCCACTCAACAGAGACTTACAATTGAGGCTATCTATAAATACATGCTCTTGGCATGTTTTGATTAGATATGCATCTGATGCATTTGCACAGATTAATCTGTCCCATAAAATGAGACCAACCAATAGGAATGTCATCTTCATCGCTCAGTTTCTAACTACTCACATGTAGACACCCCCTTGATACTTGATATGAACAGTCCTGAAAGGAAGCGAAACAAAAGCCATGCAAAATTGCTTATAGCAGAACTGTTGGTCAGTGCTCAACAGTTAATACGCCCAAGCATTTCCTCCCCAGGCTCTTTTTTTTTTTTTTTTTAGTTAGGTTTTTTAGTTTGGTTTCACCATGACTTAATCCTCTCTCTATAGTGGGTCAGAAGCACAAAAAAATATTATTTCATAACTCAGGGATGTTTATGACACCTCCGTATGCCCATGATGATGAACTCCATCACATGCTACTTGATGTTTTTACTGTATCTTTGCTGAACACTGCTACGAGCCATTTACCAATTCGTAAGTGAGGTATCAAATTGTTTTGGAGGGCTGCAGTAAGACAGAACAAATTATAGAGAAGACTTAATTGTATTATGGTTCAATACAGTCAATTAAATATTGCACAGATTAGAAAGTAATTTAACATTTAAGCTTCGGTTGTTAAAAAAACCCACTGTACATAGCCTCCAAATTATTTTAGGTCTCCTGTGACTTTACTCACTGTTGCAAATCTCCAGTATTTTAAATGGAAGCACAGATAAAGTTTCAAACCAGGTAACTAAGACAATCTCGTGATGCACTGAGTCCTCCTTTTTAGGCTAAACATGATGTCATTATTATACTTTATTCATACACTAGACAGTTTTTTCCTGGTGTTAAAGAAGTCCAAAATACCCACCTCCACCAAGGCTGCTGTCTTCCCTCTTCCCCTTAAGTTTACTCTGGTCCCTCCCACCAGCCAATATTTTCTCTCCTTTTCTCCATTCTATCCCCCACTTCTCTTCCCCCAAGTTGCTCCCTCTACATCACACTGAATTGATTTAGCTGCCTCTGAGATCTGTAGCATTTCTAATTTCCCTCAGGCTGCTTGGCACCTATCATAAATTTTTTCACCCCTTATCCTCATCTTGCCCCTTTATTTCCATGCTGTAGCCTCCAGTGCCACTAAATCAATTAAGTCAATCAATTAAGTACTTGGAGGGTCCAGCAATCATGTCAAATATGTGAGTTAGATGGCATGAGAAAGTCACTGCTTTACTATCGCTATTTCTCTTTTAATGAGGTTGTCTATTTAGTGGAGCCTGGGGCACGGTGTTAAAAGCCACAACAAAAAATATCCTGCAAGCTGCAAAGCCTCCTAAAAAAGCTGCCCATATAAAGCAGGAAGCATGTACCACACAATATTATATCCATAAGGACAAGTTTCACAGGGATATAAATTGCACAGCCTTTCACCTTGAATAACTCAATGGTGAGCCTGTTTTCAGATTGGTGGTATCAACTGACAGCTCCACTGTTACAATTTCCACGCTATTGATACTGGGATGTGGGTGACAGACATGGTGCAAGTATCTTCTGCATTTCTATTCCTGTCTATTCACTTCTACCACATCTGAATAAGCAGTAATACATTTTGCATGTCACATAAAGCTCCCCAGACGTCAAGGTTACTCACCAAACTGCAAAATCATCAACGGATTCATAATAAAATTACTTTATGGACTACAGTTTCAGTCATGCTGCTGTCTACCTCCAAGTCCCTTGTACTCCAACTGATGTTGTAATTGCTCAGCAACATGTTAGCAAATGTTAATATGTTTAGGAAGACCACTGAATAAATCACAGAAACTGAACTGAATGTGGAAAACTATGGCAATGCCTTAACAACAAGCTTAGCAAGCCGGAAGAGCAATAGTATGGCGACCACTATTTACTACAACGCACTAAGTGAAAACAAGGAATTGTAAAACACGTGAGTGGTTCTGAGATTAATTTTATCATCTCATTGCCACAAGAAATGCTGGAGTGGCACAGATGTGTGGCCAGCTCCTCCACTACACCTAGGAGATGGCTCTGTTCCTTAACGGTGCTCAAGATGTGCATATTAGGGCACGTCTGTCAAATGTTCTTCATGGCCATTTCCTTACAATTCCTGCTTGTTTTAGCTGAGATTTGCAGGGATCACGGGGACAACAACTGGTCACAAACGTTTCTCTAATCGCCTATGTTTGTGCTGCAATGCTTCTCTGCTGCTACATTAAAACACACTTAGTAGAGGTGGTCTGGAGCTGCTCATCTCCATAATAAACACCCCACAGTCCAAAACACGCTTAAGAAGCAAACGTGAAACACCTGAATTCTCTACAGCTGTAGATTCAAATCCCAGATCTGTCTAGTTTTGTAACTTTCAGGCAAGGATGGAGAGCAGTGCCCTGTAAAAAAACCCCACCCAACCCCCCCAAAAAACCCTTGCTGGCATGGAGTTTTCCCTGGTACTCATTAATGGTGCATGGATACCTGTTAAGCAGTTGTGAACCTTTCAACTTCCTTTCCCCCTAGAGACAAGTGTGTTTCAATGGGACTGTGTACAGACAATTTGGGGAAAAAGTCAACG